TTATTTATTACTCCCCAGCCGGTACGAGTCTAGCGGAGGTCTGAGTGAGCCAATGCTGATGCACGAGTCCCTCGAGCAGTCTATGACCTTGACCTCATCAGTGAAGAGCGTGCACCCAGTGGCCGGGAGACTCATCATGGACGAGAAGCTGGAGACTGGAAAGGTCATCCATCATCATCAACATCATCATCATCATCATCATCATCATCATCATCATCATCATCATCATCATCATCATCATCATCATCATCATCATCATATCTATACGAACATCTGATTAAACGACTCCAACCCTATTCAAGTCTCAAGTATAATCTTTCATCATCATCATCATCATCATCATCATCATCATCATCATCATCATCATCATCATCATCTTCTATACGAACATCTGATTAAACGACTCCAACCCTATTCAAGTCTCAAGTATATTTTTTTCTGTTTTAAATTATCATCATCATCATCATCATTATCATCATCATTTTCTATACGAACATCTGATTAAACGACTCCAACCCTATTCAAGTCTCAAGTATATTTTTTTCTGTTTTAAATCATCATCATCATCATCATCATCATCATCATCATCATCATCATCATCATCATCATCATCATCATCATCATCATCATCATCATTGTAGACAGCATTGATGAACACTAGAAACATTTATAAAGGCAAATTGAATATAATATCTCTGACGAGTTAAGTGAACTTAAAACAGTATGTATGTGTGAAAATAAGAATATAATATTCGGTAGAAATGTCTATCCATCCATCCATCCTTCAATCTATCTATCTATTTATCCATCCATCCATGCATCCATCAATCTATCTATCTATCCTTCCATCTATCCATCCATCCATCCATCCATCCATCCATCCAACCATCCATCCATCAATCTATCTATCTATCCATCCATCTATCTATCCATCTATCTATACATTCATCCATCTATCCATTTATCTATCCATCTATCGATCGGGAGCTGTAATGTATCTCTCTCTCTCTGTCTCTCTGCCTCTCTGTCTCTCTGTCTCTCTCTATCTATCTATAGATCTATCTATCTATAGATCTATCTATCTATCTATCTATCTATCTATCTATCTATCTATCTATCTATCTATCTATCTATCTTTGCGTTGTTTACCCAGGTGAAAAGAGACGTGTTCGTGGTGTACGGCCGTGCTGCCGGAATGTGTGCTTTGATGACGGCCTTCGCTTCCTACGCGGTCAACCAAGGTGAGTGAGACAGTCTTAAAAATATGGTACGAGTTTAACGCCCTATCAACACTATTAGGTTATTTAAGGGGCGGGACCTCCTAGTTTTACGTCCGTCTCCGATAGGACCGAGCCAAGTGGGAAGTTCGTGTAAAGTGTCTTTCCCAAGGACACAACGTCGGGCCGAGCTGAGGCTCGAACCCCCGAACCCGCAATCTCACGATCACGAGTCCGGTAGCCTAACCACTAGGCTACCGACGCCACCCGAGACAGTCTTAGAACAGTATTAGGTACATATGTGAGGCAGCGTGGTGGAATCAGGCTCTCGTCAATTTTTGGGCATGTAGAGTTATCGGTATCATCTTAAAGCTTGTTCACTGGTCTTTTATTTGTATGAAAAAATATCCATTTATCTTGAATACAAGTGGAGATATTTGCGAAAGAAAGAGGTGGGGGTCACCTGTTTTCAGAGGTAAAATTATTAAGAAAATGGCCGCCAAATATTAGTTATTTCCTTAGCTTATAGAGTCCGTGGTAACTGAGAATGTACATTTTTGTGTGCTTTTAATCCATGTTTTTCAGAAAAATCCACACAGAAATGAGTTCTTTAATGCCCATGAAAGGCGTTGAGCCAAAAAACAAAATTTTTATAAAAATTCACAAACCTGCGGGAAAATGCAAGTTTCTTCACTTTGATTATTTTGACGAGAGCCTGATTCCACCACGCTGCCTCACATATGTATCATGAAAAGAGGGTGCGGTGGCGGAGCGGTTAGTGCGCTCGTCTGTCTCCAAAGCGGAAAGTCCGGGTTCGAGCCTCGGTTCGGACACGGATTTTTTTCGTCCCCTCCTGCCCACCCAGCAGTAATAGGTACCTGACTTCGAGTTGGGGAAGTAAAGGCGGCGTGGAAAGGAACTGGCCACCCTACCACAATATGCTGAAGGCCCAGGAAGTTGTCTCCCTAACAAGGCAATCCCCAATGCGGGAGCAACTTTACTTTTTATTATGAAAAAAGTGAAAATGGTGTAGATTTAACGCCTCTACCAACACTGTTAGTAGGCTACTTTTAGAGGCAGGACCTCAGAGTTTAACGTCCATCTCCGAAAGGACCGAGCAGAGTGGGAAATTCGTGTAAAGTGCCTTTCTCAAGGACACAACGTTGGACTGAGCTGAGGCTCGAACCCCCGAACCCACAATCTCTATGTATTATTATCGTAACATTATAATTGTAATTTTTTTAAACGCCCCTAGCCATATTATATATCAGAACGTTTAGGAAGCGGAGCACTTTCGTTATTCTGTTTCTCTCATTGTTCTGTTGTTGCTTTTTAAAATTAGTTTTTTTCTCCACATTTCGCTTATTATTCTTTTTTTTTCTCTTCATGAATCGGTTTGTCTCATTATTATGTTTCTTTCATTAATCTGTTTGTCTCATTATTATGTTTCTTTCATTAATCTGTTCCCCTCATGGTTCTTCTTCTTTCGTTAATCAATTTCTCTCAATTTGTTTTCCCTCATTTCTCTCAATTTGTTTCCCTCATTTCTCTCAATTTGTTTCCCTCATTTCTCTCAATTTGTTTTCCCTCATTTCTCTCAATTTGTTTTCCCTCATTTCTCTCAATATTCTGTTTTCTCTCTATATTCTGTTTATTTCCGTATTCTCTATTTCTCAATATTCTGTTTTCTCTCTATATTCTGTTTATTTCCGTATTCTCTATTTCTCAATATTCTGTTTTCTCTCTATATTCTGTTTATTTCCGTATTCTCTATTTCTCAATATTCTGTTTCTCTCAATAATCTGTTTCTGTTGATTTTCTGTTTCTTCAAATATTCTGCTTCTCTCATTATCCTAATTTTCTCCCATTCTGTCTCCCAGGCCTCCTGGTGATGTCCAGTTTCTGGCTGATCGAGTGGACAGAAGACCCGATCCTCCTGAACGCCTCCACCCGCTCCACCCCCGAGGGTATCGCCACCTCCGACTACTACATGGGCATCTACGGAGGAGCCTTCGGCCTGGCGCAACGTGAGACCTTCTTACTGTTCATTCTAGTTCATAACCATCATAGTAAATGGAAAATGAACGCTGTAAAGTCTTGTGCAGCTAGTTATAATAGATTTTTAAAGAAATATTGCAAATACTAATGGTATTATTTCCTCTCCGGGACCCCTTAAAAATCTATACTTTAACCCCCGAAAAACTCAAAATATAGTTTTCTGATACTTAAAACGGTTGTCAGTCACCATTATTCGGCTCAGTACATCAATTATTTCCGCTGAAAATATATGTGGTCCAATAATTGCATTTGGGAGTTTCACCTGACCATAAGCTTTTTCAAAACATCACTGTGTAAAGTGCCTTACCCAAGGACACAACGTCCGGCCTGAAGCTCGAACCTCCGAACCCGCAACCTCACGATTACGAGCCTAACCACTGGACTACCGACGCTACTTATTATACGACCTAAGTGTCTTGCAGCTGCCGTAAAATTTATGCTAAAAATAAAATTGAGTCTCCATGAGCCTTGCCTGGTCCTATAGGAGGTGCACTTTTAAATCCGGAGGTTTGACCTCATGAATAAGTTTAGTTCTGAAAAGGTCGTTGAACCCATACAATTACTAAACACCTCTCCTCCCTTTATCAACACCGTTAATCTTCGGCACTTATATGACCTTTTTGTGTTACAAGTGCCGTGAAACTATTACTAGATTTACTTATACACGTTTTCCTGGGTCAGTGTTCACATAAGTTATCGGGTTCAACAGGGCTGCGGACAGACTGCAAGGGCAGTCTCATAACACTCTCATGAAATTGAAGATGAATCTGTATTTTGTATTGTCCAAATTTTTGCTCCTCAAAGGAAATTGGTAACACCTCTAATCTTCGGCATTTATATGACCTAATTGTGTTACAATTGCTGTAAAACTCATACTAAAACTAACAACCAAACTTTCAGATTGCTGCAGATCTGCATGGACTCACTGGCCAATCTTGTTGTGCTCTTTGCCGCCATTTTGCAGTGGAAACGATATTTAACAAATCAAAGAGTGTTTTATATGATGCTTTGTAGGCTAATGGCCTTATACACTGAAGAAACTTACATACTTTTTCACACTTTCTCCTGTTTCAGTGTTCACGTTTTTAGCCTTCAACTACCTGTTCTGGTTCCGTATGGTTCGGGCTGCTGACAGACTTCACGGATTCCTGCTGGAGAGACTTTTCCACGCCCCGATGTCCTTTTTTGACCAGACTCCGATAGGCAGGATTCTCAATAGGTCAGTGAGGGAGGACTCTGCTGGGGGGCAACGGTCAAATGTGTGTGCTCTAATGAGTGTGTGTGTATGTGTGTGTGAGTGTGTGTGTGTGTGTGTGTGTGTGTGTGTGTGTGTGTGTGTGTGTGTGTGTGTGTGTTCAGATGCTTATGTTCAAATAATGTGCTCACACATGTTTGCACTCGAATGTGTGTGCTAAAATGTTTGTGCTCTTATGTTTGTGCGCGAATGTATAATAATGTTCCCAGTGCATGCTCTCATTTGTGTGTGTTCACAATGTGTGTTCTCAGATGAATGTGCTCCAATGTGTGTACTCAGATGATGATGATGATGATGATGATGATGATGATGATGATGATGATGATGATGATGATGATGATCATGATGAAGAATATTATTATAATTATAATATTATTTCGTTGTTTGTGTTCTCGGCCAGGTTCTCCCGCGACATGGACACAGTAGACAACACGCTGCCGCTCATCCTCCGCGACTGGATTGTGTGTGCTGCCCTCATCTTCGTCACTCTCGTGGTGGTGCTGGTTCAAACCCCGCTCTTCGCCGTCGTCCTCGTGCCACTGGTCATTCTCTACATGCTCATACAGGTCAGGGGGTCAAGGGTCGGGGGTCAGGGGGGAGGGT